TGGTCTTTGTGAGACGGGGTCTCCCTGTAACCCCAGCTGACCTGGAACTTACTTGCTATGTAGACAAGGCTGGCCTCAGACTCACAGAGAGATCTGCCTGCCTCTGCCTCTTAAGTGCTGGAATTAAAGGTGTGTGCCACCACACCAGCAGATATCTTTCTTATACAACTGAGGCCCACAAGCCTAGGGATGGTGCTGCCACAGTGGGCTGGGCCCTCCTATATCAATTAGCAACTAAAAATAATGCGTCCCAGACGTGGCCACAGACCAGTCTGATCTGGGTAATTCTTCAGTTGAAGTTCTTCTTCCCATATGACTCTTAAGTTTGTGTCAACTAACAGCCGACGCTAACTATGAGGCAGACCCTGAGGCTCCCATTGTTTGTGTTCCTGGCTTCTTATTCCTGCACCTCAACTAAAGAAAAGACTGTATTGCATTATGTATTTGTAAGTTAACAGGATGTGGCAATCTGAAAACACCATCGTTGAAAAACAAAAAGAAATCCAGATCAAAGTTTAGATCAATAGTATTCTATTTTTGGTTCCATAAAACATATGTGCATACGTACACATGTGCACACACACACACACACACACAGACACACACACACACACACACACACACACACACACACACACGAGAATGTGTAGCGAAACTACAAGTAGCTGACATGTTACTTGCGAGTCTAGCCTTGGGGCTGTAGTGCTGCCTGTCTTTCTACCTCAAGGTTCTGAACTTGTTACTTTATCTCACAGTGATGTGAGATTGCTGGTTATCCTGGAATCTTAAAACTATTATCCAGGGGCTGGAGAGATGGCTTGGCGGTTAAGAGCACTGACTGCTCTTGCAGAAGACCCGAGTTTGATTCCCAGCACCCACATGGCGGCTACAAACTATCCTTAACCCCAGTTCCAGGGGAATCCGAAGCCCTCTTCTGACCTCCGTGGCATTGCCCGACACAGGTGCACTCACATACACGCAGGCAAAACACTCATACACATAAAATAAAAATAATAAATAAAATATTAAAAAAATAATAAATAAATACATAAATAAAACTGTGTTTTCCAGGGCTGGAGAGAAGGCTCATCAATTAGGAGCACTTACTACTCTTGCAAAGGAGTTGTGTTCAACTTCAGGCACCCACATGTTGGCTCACAACCATCCCTAGCTTCAGTTCCAGGGAATCTGGAGCCCTCTTCTGGCGTCCACGGGCACTGCATGTGTGTGGTGCACTTAGGTACATTCAGGCAAAGTACTCATAAACATAAAATAAAAAGAAATAGATTAAAAACAATACTTAAAAACAATACTGTTCTCTGCAGCCCTTTATTCCTATCCGCGTTCAATGTTTTTCACTCTTTCGCACAACCAGATAAAACAATAAAGCTAGGATATCTGGAAATAGTTTTGCTGCTATTGACTTTACTCTTGAACAGCTAATACTTAAGTAGATATTGAAACCTTGAGTCAGATTATGTTTGTCAAGAAATTCTGACTGTTGCTCACTTCTTAGTCGGCTTTTGGTCTATGTCAAAATACCTAAGACCATTCTTTAGACATAGGAAAGATGGATTTTGGTTCACAGTTTGAAAATTTCAGTCCATAGTTATTTGGCCTCATTGCTTTTGGTCAAACACCATAGTGGGGAGTATGTGGTAGAAAAGTTTCTCACTTTATGGCAGTTGGAAAGTAGAAGACAAAGGGGAGAGACTGGAGTTCCAATATCACCTTCAAGAACATACCTCTACATGAGAGAGGTAGATACGTGGGAGAAGGGAGATAAAACAGAAGAAAACAGAAGAGATCACAGAGATTCAACTGAGGAATGCAGTGCAGTTCCCAAGGGTGGTACCTCCCAGTGGTGCCACAGGGTGGGAACCAAACCTTCAACCTGTGAGCTTTAGAGGAAGATTTAAGATACAATGGTAATTTGGGGCTGAGAGACGGCTCAGCAGTTAAGAGCCCTGGCTGCTTGTACAGAGGATCTGGTTCCGTTTCAGGGACTAACAACCGTCCGTAACTCTAGTTCCAGGGACCTGATGCCCTCTTCTGGTGTACTTACATACATGCAGGCAAAACAACTCACACACATACAATAAATGAAAAACGTTCCGCAGCAAATGATAATATTTGACACTTCCTGTTACCTAAAAAGATCTTAGCTACATTATCAATAAATACCCTCCCTAACATTATTGCCTTATCGTTATTGTGTTTAATTGATTTTTAATGATTGAAACTTGAAGACAAAAAAGCTAGGCACTTCTTGGCACTGGTCTCTAAGAGCTGGCCATTCATTTGGCCTTCTAGCCTCCAGCCATTTTTTTTTCTTTTTGTATTTTTTTCTTTTCATATTAGTTCTTCTCTAATATGTGCTGGCTTTTGCTTCTGACCTGGATGTCATCTGTACCTCCATTGGGAACTGCATTGCATTCCTCAGTTGAATCTCTATGATCTCTTCTCTTTTCTTCTGTTTTATCTCCCTTCTCCCTTCCCTGTATTTTCTCCGGCTCTGAAGGTAAACATCTGTTCCAGCTCAGTTTTCAGCAGTGGGAGGCAGCCTTGCATCAGTTTGGTTGTGACTGTGTTTTAGACTTTATGAGCCTCTTTCATCTTGTCACCTTCTTTCTTATGTCTGAATTTTCTGATTTAATAAAAGCTATACAAATATTCCCTAGCATAGAAGGAAAATGCTCCCTGGAAATAAAAATCATTTGTTCACAGAGGTAAAAATCTTGTTTAGATGAGAAATATTCCCTTTGAGTCATTTTCTGCCCCTTTCCTTAGTCTTTGTGGAACCCGTCTCTGCTCTGTAGGTTAACTGGTCCTTATAACCAAAGTATTTCCACTCTGGGCCAATTAGAGAGCTCTTGTTTCAAGGAGAAAGTACTTAGGCTGCCTCCTCAGGTCTCTAGTGAATCTCATGGTTTGCTTTATTCCACCATGTTGGTTAGATTCTCCTTCACTCTGCCTTGAGGAGAGTTGGATAAAGTTTCACCCTAGCCCTGCAGTGGTCAACTCAGCCCACTGAGCCCAGCACCACATCTGATACTTGAAATGAAAGGAAATCTTTCAGGAGTGGGTATGGTCTTCAGTGTGCCTCAAAGCTGGCAGTGAGCATTTTGCAAGACATTCACCTGAATAGTGGTCAAGGCATTAAGGCCCATGACTGATTCACAGTGATTGACCACCTGACTTTGAGTTCAAGAGAGAGAGAGTGACCCTAGACTATCATGATAAAACACTGTGATGATGAGAACTTGGTGGCCCCAAGAGTTCCATGGTTCTTGGCAAGAGTGCTGTCTGACAGAGTTCCAGCCGAAAGCTGATGGCCGCTGCTCTTTTGGTGGAAATCCCTCCCCACATTGCTCCTGGTTTTTGTAATTTGTATAACCTTCTTTCTTTAAGAATCCTGATGACCAACTCTGATGATGGAATGGGAAACAAAAACAGGGAAATCTCTGCCTTTAGCAGAATTATCATGTTACTGAAACAAAACGAAAGTACGACTATGACCCCGTTTGGACCTGCATTTGTGATTAATAATGAGGCTTGGTTTCCCCCAAAAGGAAAAGATAGCAGGCAATCTCTAGATGCCCTGCTGCCTTTTACAGGAGTTTATGATTTTAACCCTGAAGGAGGAACTATTGAGACTAAAGTTTGGTATAAGGAAAAACTACTTGGCTTAGGGAAACTCCCTCTTGGATAGAAAGATTAGCTAAGTCAGTAAAAAGCTGGTGGTGCATGACCTCTGAAGAAAAATTGCCTATTCTTTTACAAAGACTAATTTACAAAGACATTCAAAAAGCCCTTAGAGATAAATGGCAACAAAATAATAAAGGATATTGAAATAGAGAAAATAATCATATGGCTCAAAGAATATAAAACGTTCAGGAAGAAATAGCAAAAGGGTTAGAAAGAAAGAAAACTTGAAAAAAGATAATACTGAGTGTGGTGGTGAAGCTCTCTTATCCCAGCCCCTGGGAGATGGAGGCCGAGGATCAGGAGTTCAAGGGCAGCCTCTACCACACAGTGAGTCAGAGGCCAGCCTGGGTTACATGAGACCCTGTTTCAAAAAACCAAAAGCACACACTTTTTTTTAAAATTTATTTTTCATTTTATGTGCACGAGTGTTTTGGCTGTATGCATGTAAGTGCACTCATGTTGTGCAATGCCCATGGATGCCAGAAGAGGGCATCCCCTGGAACTGGAGTTTCAGAAGGTTGTTAGCCTTTGTGTGGATGCTAGGATTTGAATCCAGGCCCTCTGCAAGATCAGCCAGTGCTCCTAACTACTGAGCTGTCTCTCCAGCCTCCAGAACTTCTTGGTCTTTTCTGTACCTGAAAGCAGGAACTCTAGCATTCAATAGAAGCTATGACTACAAAAAGGACTGACGTTAATAAAAGTAGAATTATTAAGTTTTGAATCTTGAAGTTCTTAGAGATCTGGGTTTTTTTCTCTTGTGTTTCTGATTTGGAGAAAAATATAAAATATTATAGAACACAGATAAGACTCTAGAACACACTCTTCTGTTTTTTCAGGGCTGAAAATGGAGATTTAAAAAATCCATCAAAGACATAAGGTGATCCGATTTATTCTTAATCTGCTTTTAGCACAGGGTTACCCTGAGTGATCACCATTCTGAGTATTTTTCAGAGACAAAAGTCCTGCCAGACCACTGGGTAACTGGGAAACAGGACTTTTCTATCAGAGCTGGCCAGAGAGAAGCTACGCTTATGAACATGGGCCCTCGCTGCTATATCCCTTGTCCTTATGTGGTTCCAAAGAGCTCACATTTAATGAGAAAGCCCATTTACCAGCTCAGATTAAGCCACTGGAGAGTCGGAATGAAGCAACAGGTCAAATGTAGCAGGGCATTCGTCTTCTGTAAGGCCTTCACAAGCCCTTCAACCCTGAGCAATGCTAACTCGGATGGCAGATTGAACAGTATAGCCATGCATTTTGAAATAACACTTCTATTTCATTTCCCTTTCCAGGTTTGAGATTTTTAAGAGCACTCAGACTGATACAGTTTTCAGAAATTTTGCAGTTTCTGAATATACTTAAAACAAGGTAAGATGTTCTTTCTTGTACTTTGCCCATCTGGTTCCTTAGTGCCAGGCTGTAAATATCAGGTGTATTTGCTTTCAACACTGTAACATGATAGAGTTATGCTAGTCACAGAAAGAGGGATGCAATCCAAAGCTGGAGAGAAAAGCTTATTAAAGTGGGGTTTATACTACTGTGTTCTACAGAGTCAGGGAAAAAGAGAGGCATGGCTGTGCATGTGTGGAGGAAGATATGATTTGTGGGGGACGCGTGGCCATGATCTGGGTACCAAGTGGGGTTGCAACATCAGCATCGTGGGAGAAGTACACATGGATGAGGGATGGATTTGCTCATTGATTGGGAAGTCCTTGCCGCCAGGTCTTAAATCGCCCCTTTAGTCACCACTACGTAAGAAATTGAACTCGATCATAAAGGCAAGAGAAACAATGCTGTTTGACAGGCAATCACAAACCTCACATGGCAAACAGAAAATCATTTCATTTCGAAGTATATTTTAGGTGTTCCACTTTATATCCATAGAGCCCTTGGGGCTTGCTCTGAAAATTGCCTTTTGGGGGAAACCCTAAAACCTCCAGCCAAATGTACCATGACTGCTTCTGTTAACTATGTTATGATCTGGAAAACACAGCTAGACCAGGAGCAAAATCCCCCAGAGGTTCCCCTGCCTGATGACCTGTCGCTGCGTAGAGCTGTTCCGAAACCAGGGCTCTGTTGATGAATAAACTAATAAAAGAGGTTAGACTCACTCTAATGGAGAGTAAGTGTGGGTCATAAATTTCTCTTCTAGGAAATTACACTTTAAGAAGATCCCTTCTAATGTTCCATTTCCTCTTTCCTTGGCCTTAATGTGTTTGATAAATGTATTTAGTCATGTATAATTGATACACCTGCATTGTGAGGGCTTGGATTCAGTGTTATTTCCCCAGTCATGATGTCTGGAACCAACCTCCTGAATCTTCCATGTCCAATGAGTTATGTTTTTATTTTTTTGCTATTGTTTATTTTAATTTCAAATTGTCTCCTTTCCAACTGTTCATTTATGTCAATAAGAGATAAAATTCACTTCCTATTAGACAACTTAAAAAGGAGAAGAGCCATACTGTTCTCTCAAGATCTGTCCTTGTCCCCTTTACATTTTTTATCTTCTGAGGTAAAAAATGTATTGGTTCTCTGTTTTTGGTGTATAATATTATTCATAAGACAATAAATATTGTTTTGTTCTTATTTCCTCTGAGCAACAATAGCCTAAAGTTTTACCTTTTCATAGATTTCTTATATTATAATAGACATAAATTATTTTGAAATCTAAATAACAAAGATAGCATATCCAATATTTACATATATTACACCTGTGTCTCAAGACTGTTTTTCTAAGGGTGAGTTGGTGACTATCTAGCACCATGTTAGGGCCTTAGCCTTACATTTTATTTTCTAGGGGGTGATAGTGGTGCTTTAATGGAGCCATCCACATACTCTCACATGATGTAATGTCTCTTTCTCCCTGTTTCTCACTTACCTCATAAAGTAATGGGATTTTTATTCTATGGTAATAACAGTTCAGGATGATTCTAGTCCTCTGATAAATAATGTATACAGAACTGTGTCCTGACCCTCCTCATCCTTTTGTATTGCAGTGATGTGCCTGCCCAGTATCTTTTAAAATTTATTTTATTATTTTCATTTTATTTTATGTGTATGAGTGTATTGCCTGCATATATGTAAGTGTACCCATGCCATGCAATGGCTGCGGAGATCAGAAGAGGGTGTTGGATCCCCTGGAACTGGAGTTACAGATGGGATGGCTGTTAGCCACCATGTGGGTGCTGTCACCCAGGTCCTCTGCAAGAGCAGCCAGTGCTCTTAACCACTGAGCCATCTCTCCAGCCCCCCACAAGTTTCTTTTAACTGACCTTATGCTTGGGCATGCTCTTTGCTTTGAGTGTGGGAATTGGCTCCAGCCTTCTTGAAAAGCACTGCCTTCATACTGTGCAGTTATGATGCTTCATTTTCTCAGGGCAGGAGGGAGAAGGCTGGGGGGGGGGAGAGGAAATTGGGTGTTTTGGAGGCAGCTGTTCTCCAACAGAGTCATGGGTAGCAGCAGGTAGGGTGTCTGCAGTCTTGGCCCCCAACAGTGCTTCCACAGGACCCTTACTTCCCACATAATAAACTCCTGCCTTCAGACGATGCCTTTCTTCACAATCCCACAATTTGGGTGTCCTGGGTTCCTGTTCATGGTCACAACCAGGTTGTTGTATCAACTCTGTAAGTCTAAAATGAGCACTAGTTTATGCCAGTGGCATGATGGGTACTCAGAGGAGTCCTGGTGCCAAAAGTCTCCTGGGGATGGGGTCCTGAAACCAGATTGCCTCTTAGGGTGTTAGGTGCTAAGACAGGAGTGAGCCCAGGACTGGGAGGTACAGAGTCACTGAGCTGGGCTTGGAAGGAGTCGTGGGGCAGGTCAAGGTCTTTTCAATGACAAGGTGGAAACCTTGAGAAAACAAGGTGTTTTTCTGGAGGATGGGCATGTGAGGGGCAGAGAAGATGGGTCACTTCAATCAAGGAAGCTGTGGAAAGCACACATGAGGCAAGAGAGAATGGCGTCTGTGGGACCTTTGAGCCAGTCTGAGATCCTGGAAATTGGGGTTCTGTCATGGACAAAGGAGAGCGAGGTTAGCGTGAGTAGGCAAAGGCAGATCACCAGGCCAAGTGGAAAGCTTCCTCATGCTTTAGGAACTTAGAAGCTTCAGGAACCTGCTCAGCAGATACCTGGCTATGCCTGGCTCCTGCCTTCTGTCACTCCATGTCCTGATCCCAAAGCTCTGTACAGAGCAATGAAGCCTGGGCTTCCTAGGGCTTTGGTCTTGGGGGGGTTCTGTTGTGAGTCCTCTCTGCTCTGCTGCTTTCATGGTGACCTTCTGGGAGGGTGGGGGAGTCTGTGTAATCATCTTTAGAGAGATTGGATCTAGCTTTCTCTTGTACTGAATCCCTGACCATCTGTGGTGTTAGGTAAGGATGGAAGCTTCGCAAGTGTGACTTTAAATAATACTTTAAAAATTGCTTTTCATCTTCTGTTACTCAGTTGCCTCCTTCAGAGCTGGAAAACAGCACAGAAGTGTGTGTGTGTGTGTGTGTGTGTGCGTGTGTGTGTGTGTATGTATGTGCAGGTGTGTGAATGTGTTGTAGGTGTGTGAGGGTGTGTGTGTATGTGTGTGCATATGTGTGAGGGTGTGTGTGTTTGTGTGTGTATGTGCAGATGTGTGAGTGTGTTGTAGGTGTGTGAGGGTGTGTGTGTATGTGTGTGCGTATGTGTGAGTGTGTTTATGTGTATGTGTGAGGGTGTGTGTGTGTGTGTGAGGGGGGTGTGAGGTGTGTGTGTGTGTGTGTTGTATGTGTGTTTTTGATGAATTAGGTTGATAATCATAGTAATGTCAGGCAAGGAACACTCTATGACAGGAAATGGGGCAGGTTTCCAAAGTGTGAGTCAACAGAGGCCTTAAGATATTCTAGATCCTGTGATAGAGGGCCTATTTAGGAGGTACTGGGATATTCAGGGTCATTTGAGGGCCTATTTAGGAGGTACTGGGTTATTCAGGGTCGTTTGAGGACCTAGTTAGGAGGTACTGGGATATTCAGGGTCATTTGAGGGCCTGTTTAGGAGGTACTGGGAGATTCAGGGTCATTTGAGGGCCTATTTAGGAGGTACTGGGAGATTCAGGGTCGTTTGAGGACCTATTTAGGAGGTACTGGGAGATTCAGCGTCATTTGAGGGCCTATTTAGGAGGTACTGGGAGATTCAGCGTCGTTTGAGGGCCTATTTAGGAGGTACTGGGATATTCAGGGTCGTTTGAGGGCCTATTTAAGAGGTACTGGGAGATTCAGCGTCATTTGAGGGCCTATTTAGGAGGTACTGGGAGATTCAGGGTCGTTTGAGGGCCTATTTAGGAGGTACTGGGAGATTCAGGGTTGTTTGAGGGCCTATTTAGGAGGTACTGGGATATTCAGAGTTGTTTGAGGGCCTATTTAGGAGGTACTGGGAGATTCAGGGTCGTTTGAGGGTCTATTTAGGAGGTACTGGGAGATTCAGGGTCGTTTGAGGGCCCATTTAGGAGGTACTGGGAGATTCAGCATCATTTGTCTAAGCTGTTGGAAGTCCCTCCATTGCTTTGCAAGCTGGTGAGCAAACTTCCAGGTGCCGGGTCATTTATTCTGCAATCAGAGCAAAGTTCAGTCTTAAAGTAGCATAAAGTAGCATATGCTTCGTGTGACCTTTTCTCCCATATGGAGACGTATAAAAGGTGAAGCCAAATGGTCTCTACACCTTGCTACTGTCAGCTCTCTACCACATCACTTTTGTCTGCTGCATGTGTGTGTATGTGTATGCATGTATATGCATGCGTGTGTATGTGTATATATGTATGTATATGCTGTACGTGTATGCATGTGTATGCCATATGTGTCTGTGTATGCATGTGTATGCCGTATGTATATGCATGTGTATGCATGTATATGCTATATGTGTATGTGTATGCTGTATGTGTATACATGTGTATGCCATATGTGTATGCATGTGTATGCGCATGTATATGCATGTATATACTGTTTATGTATGTGTGTACATGTGTATGCCATATGTGTATGCATGTGTATATGTATGCTGCATATGTATGCATGTGTATGCCATATGTGTATGTGTATGCATGTGTATGCCACATGTGTATGTATGTGCATGCCATTTGTGCATGCATTTGTATGTTGTATGTGTATGCATGTGTATGCGTATGCATATGTATGTTTATGCTGTATGAGTTTGCATGAGTATGCCATATGTGTATGTGTGTGCCATATGTGTATGTCTGCCATTGTTTGCCCAATCGATATATTTGGGAGTCATTTTATAAATTAACTTTATGACATATGTGACCTTAGAAATGGCTCCACAGCAGTCTATGAAGAAGACTATATGATATGGAGATTAGGAGGGGTGTGAGGTAGAAATCATGAAGTCTCTTAGACTGATGGATTCTACAGAGCGCAAGATAGAGTTATTGAAGGATTTTATTCAGGAGAAAAAACATGGTCACTCACATTCTAGTAATTCAGTATTCCCTCAATTGTATAGAGTTGGCTTCAAGTGTCTAAGACTTGATAGACCTTAACACCAGGCAGGGCAGTAGTGCAGGGAAGGGGTATTAGGACCTAGTCCATGCAGACCAGCTGAAGAGGAGACCCATCTAGAGATAACTAAAGGGCAAATGTGACAGAATATTCTTTTCCTTTACTTCGTACCTCACAGTTCATTCATGTCAGTGTGTCGTAGCCCAGTTGACACTCAGGTTTGGAATACTTCGTATCTATCCAGCAAAAGTAATAGGGATAGTTTGTATCTATTCAGCAAAAGTAGCATTGAAACACAATGAAGCCACTGGCTCTTGGTAAGCCCTCCCATCAGAAACAAGGCAGAAGATAGAGACAGGGACAAATTTGTGCTTCCTTGTGCAAAATGGATGACATTTTCAGAGTTAACTAAAACTGTCTTGTTAAATCCTGTAAGGGCAGAAATAGCCCTTGGCACTTCTAGCTTTACTGAAATAATCTCAAGTCTGACTCTCCCAGCATCCACTGAGTCCTGGGAAAAGTCTCTGTCGGATTCCCACCTGCACAGTGATGATTCACTGTGTCCACCCATGTCAATGACTCTAACGTTCATTGTCAATCAGACTTTGGTCACAATACTAAAATTACTGAGAAAACAACTTCAGGGGAAAAAAAGATTTATTTGGGCTCAGAGTTTCTGGGGTGTTAGTCTGTGGTCAGCTGGCTCTGTCACTCCTGAGCTGTGAGGAGGCAAAGCATCCTGGAAAAGCTATGTTGATCACCTCATGGTTACCCAGGAGGAGAAGCAGAGTGAGAGATGGAAGGCTCAGAGACAAGATGTGGCTCCAAGAACACCCGCCCCTCTGCCCCTTGCCCTTCCTCCATGTAAGCCCTACCTCCTAAAGTTTCCAGACCCTCCCAAAATAATGTCACCAGAGGGAGACCAAGTTCTTAGAACATAGCCCATGGAAGATATTTCATACTCAAATCAGAACAACCATGGAGAACTCATGGATGGGGACTCCAGTGTTTTGATGCAAATGCATGCCTGGCTTTCTTTAGAGGGGCTTGTGTTCAGGGTATGATCACAATCCCTCTTTCACAGCAGAGAGCTAGAATCTGAATGGGCCAAATTAACTACTGATGACTTCATATTTTGCTTGGACCTTTGGTCTTGGCAGAGAAGCCACAGATAGCTTTCTTCTGTGGTTCTTTTGCCACAAACACACAAAGTTCTTCTCCTGACAGTCCCTCCCTCCTTCCAAAAAATCCTCTTCTAGCTGACGAGATCCATGTTGCACAGAACAGAGAAGGTCCAGCAAGGGTTAATCTTACATAGAATACTTTTTTTGCACACAGCTTTCAGATGATTGCCTCATTGTGCAGATTAACTTAGAAGGCAAGTTTCAGACAAGAGAGCTGGGATAATGCTGATGTCATACAGACAATCAGATTTCTGCCCAGAACATGGCTGTTTCAGCAACAGTGATTAAGTGTTCTGCACACAGCGAGAGCTCCCTTAAGCACCATTAATATTGTGGTGACAATCAGTTAGAGATTAATAATCACCACATTTAGACCATTTTCCCAAAGCACAAAGAGACTCAAAGACCTCAATAGATTTAATATCCAGAAAGGACTCCACACGGTTATTGATAGCACACTGCTTCTAAGGCCTCAAGGAATTGGGAGTGTGCAAGTGAGTCAGTTAATTAGGTGTTGAATTCTCCCCTGAGAGGATGAATGTACACACCTCCCCTCTCTTTGCCCCTCTTCTTCATCTGCTTCCTCTTTTGTATCAACTCCTGTCTTAGAAGCTTGCAAAATGGAGGCAGGGGAAGAGGCTACCCTGCTAAAACTTTGCCAAAGACACTTTAATCATCAGTGAAATGGCTGGAGGCAAGAGCCTAGAAGGGAAGTCATTTTGTATTCCAGGTGGGTACAAAGGCTTGATTTAAGGAAAAGGTGAGAATCAAACCAGTTTTCGAGGAGTGGAAACTACATGGATTGTTCTAGTTTGCTTTCAGTTGAGGTGACAAAATACTTTGACCAATACCAACTTGGGGAAGAAAGGGTTTATTTGACTTACATCACTCTTGGGTCACAGTTCATCTGGGAGCCCAAGGTAGGAACTCAGGGCAGGAACCTGGATGCAGGAGCTGGAGCACAGGCCATGGAAGAACACTGCTTACTGGCTTGCTCCCCTGGCCCATGCTTCACCTGATTTATTAAACAATACAAGACCACCTGCCGAGGGGTGGCACCATCCACAGTGGGCTACATCCTCCCACATCACTTAACAATCAAGAAAATGTCCCACAGACATGGCCACAGGCCAGTCCAATGGAGGCAATTCCCCAGTTGAGGCTCCCCCAGGCCAGGTGTGTCAAGTTGACAATTAAAGCTCTCCAGCACATGGATAAATGGAAACATTACCTTATTCAGTAAGAGCTCCAGTAGAACTATCATCAGTAGGTTTGCCTGTGATGAGCGTTTCAAGAGTTTGTATGACAGAGTTGTGATAGGAGAGCAGGGACTTTGTAGGGTATTGGGGAAGGATGGAGGGTAGGTGTTGGATATCACGCATTGGTCAAGCCTTTGGGGACAGCAAGTGTCCTGTGGCCAGCATTCAGGAGCTATCTCCCAATGGAGGTGAACAGGATACTTAATGGAATAGGGATAAGAAGAGCCAGTTACTCAGTACACATTCATAGAGGCACTATTGTGTGCTGGAGATCTGCTGCTCCTGGGATGTGGACAGACAAGGTCACTCCTGAACTTCAAATGTAGTAAGTTCTGGATGCTGCATTAACTAGAAAGAGAACTCAGCCCTGGCTGTGGTGAGATGTAGCCTGCCTACCTTAGCCAAGTGAGAGGATCTGACATCACTGGGGTCATTCCTGAGTGAATCCATCCTAGAAGAGATTCTTTTTATAAAAATACTTATTTTTTTATTTTTTATGTGTATGAGTGTATGGCCTGCATGCGAGTGCACCTGTGTTGTGCAATGCCTGCAGAAGTCAGAAGAGAGTGTCAAATTCCCCTAGAACTGGAGTTACAGACACCATGTGGGGGCTGAGAATCTAACCTGGGTCTTCTGCAAGAGTAGCCAGTGCTCTTAACCACTGAGCCATCTCTCTAGCTCCATAGATTCTTAATAGAGATTTCTGAGCAAGATCTGATCCTGAAGGAATAATTAAACAAATCCAGTATCTGAGACATTCTGTAAAGTAGACTGGTTTTATACAATATTACATTTTCTTGAAAAAAAAGAAAACAAGAGTGGAAACATTTCCCATAGTTTGAAAGAGGCTATTTAATCTCAGCACTCGGGAGGCAGAGTCAGGTGGATCTCTGTGAGTTCGAGGCCAGCCTGGTCTACATAGCGAGTTCTAGGACAGCTGGAGCTATAGGGAGACTCTGTCTCAAAAAGCCCCCCCCCAAAGGAGACACAGAAATTAGTGAACTATATAGTTCTAGGCCTCTTTTTTGGTAAATGCAGTTTGACCACAGCATACCGACTCCATTCATCCTATTGCATGTGGCCTGCAGCTGCCTTACAATGGTAGGAGTTGACCCTGAAAGTGTACGTCCTACAAAACCCCAAACATTTACTAACTATCCCTATGCAGTAAGTTCCTTCCCCTCTGGATTAAAGCCACATCATAGTCATATGCAAAAGATGAACCTTGATTAGTTCCTGGACCTGGGAAAATAATGGAAACATTGTTCAACACAATTTCAGGGCAACTGGAGATATTTAAATAAGGGCTGCATGCTAGATTACGCTGCTGAATTCATGTTAATTTTCTTAGATATGACCTTGTCCTTGTAATTACATCACGTGGCGCCCTTCTTAGGAGCTGAATGCTGAAATGATTAGATGTTGTTTTGTGATGTCTACAACTTAGGTGCTAAGGGCTCAGTCAAAAAAATAGAAACATAAACGAAAGAAGAAAAGCATCAGAAAGAATGAGAAAAAGTGTAGCGATAAAGGAGATGTGGGAAAAATGTCAATACTTTGTAGATGGAGGGCATGTAAGTGTTAATTACACTGTTGTTTCCATTTCTCTGTAGATTTGAAGTCCCCCCCCCAAAAAAAAATCAAACTTAATTTTTAAACAAAGTTTGACGGAGTTACTTCAAGGCCCAGCTGTAATTTTCCTTCAGGCTCCTTTGAGACCTTCATTCCTGACCAATTTACATCACCTTCTGGAGTCATATTCCCTTTTGGTGATGACAACTTGCTTCTCCCCAATAGGGGGCGCTGTGACACCACCAGGCAGCTCCTAAAGCGGTTACCCCATGTAACCTGGAGACTTTGCTTCTTGTCTCTCTTGCACAGTAATTCTATCAAGCTGGTGAATCTGCTCTCCATATTTATCAGCACGTGGCTGACTGCGGCTGGGTTCATCCACTTGGTAAGTATGTGAAGACTCAGCAGTTCTGGCTGGCTGGGAACACGCCCCCTGCGGGGTCACTTTATTACCTGAAATTTCTCTCGCGGTGAGAAAACAGCTTAGTTGTAGACACAGGAAAGGGGAACAAACCACACAATTATCTGAATTTCAACCCTTTACCCCCAAACTAGTTTGGAATGGTGAGAAATATTCGCATTGTTAACCTCATTTGCCAGCTTTACCTGTATTGCTTGTGGAGACAGGGCTGTCGATTTTTCACACTGTGTGCAATAATCCAACATCGCCACAAGATGGCAGTGCCTCCACAGCAAACGCCCAGAGGAAGTCTGGTGAGAAGGTTCAAAGTTTGTAAACAACAAATGCAGATCCCTGGATGTGTCCCCACTTCCCTCTCACAAAAAGCTGCCTTTGATTCTTCTGCCTGATGACTTGTCAAGTTATTTCGTACCTCAAAAACGTTAATTCTTTTATACTAATGACTCTTTGAAAGCCTTCTATTATTAAGTCAAATTCTTCACACCTCCTCAAGGCAGATGGTTCTCCCCTGCTTCCAGAGAAGATACTTAACTATTAAAAGTACATTTCATACAGCCATAGACTGTTAGAACTGGAAGCAGCCCCATTAAACTATGAAACCGAATAAAGATGATCTTTTCTCTCCATTAGCCGCTACCCCAGATTGGGCGTGGGGGGTGAGGATGCGTTATCCAACTCTTTCAAAAACTATTTATTATTTAATTATGTGTATGCCTGTGTGCCTATGTAGGGATATCTGCACATATGTACAGGTGTGTGAAGGAGCCTGCAGAGGCCAGAAAAGGGTGTTGGATGCCCTGGAACTAGATTTACACGTGGTTGAGAGTTGCCCAATGTGAGTGCTCAGGATTTCTTCAAAGAAGAAAGTTCAGTTCTGGTGCTTAACGACTGAACCGTTTCTCCAGCCCCTACCCAACTCTTTATTCTTGTGGGATTCTGGACCAAATTCACCCTTCATCATCCTAAGTTTTTACTGGAACCAAGTGACAAGGGCAATCTGCAAGTCTGGGCTCAGGTTCCCCAAATCCTGCCACCACATTCACTCCCTGACCCCTGCTGAGTCCCAGTGCCATGTTCAGAGCCCAGTAGCCGCGCAGAATCAAGAACTGTAAGGGCCCAAGCTGATACTATGGACTCTATGACCCTTTACTGAAAAGGTTTGCAGGCCAGTGGTCTAACACTCTATAAATGCAAGCTGTTCCTAGAGGCTCACTCTTCTGGCTCCAGGGCAAGCTCCTAAGCCTGAAGTGCAGAACTGCTTGTTGTCAGTCTGCAAAGAAGGCCGAGAGGCATCAGAAGTAGAGATGTTGTTTAGGGTTCAGGCAGAAGACCTGGTGTTAGGCCTAGTGGCATCTCCTTGGCCAAAATGATGAAAGGAGTTACCCTCTGGGGAGGGTTTATGATTTCAGTAGGAATGCCCAGGAGGGAAGAGTTCTTTGGCTCCGTCCTTAAAGGGAGCACTCTAAATGGAGCCAGAGGCAACATGCTATTTAACTGGCACTAGAACTTCAGCAAGGAGAAGGAAAGCAGATCAGGGATGGCTCTCTTCATCCCTGTTCTTTTCCTCTTTGCGCCAGCCAGTCACAGGGAATTTCCTGTTACAGTTGTCTCCTCTTCTCTGGTACCTGCTGGGGGTGTTTGAGGCATCAGGCCTCAAAATCCACCACCAGCTATCCTGTACTGAGAGTAAGTTGTGTATACTGTGTATGGGTGTCTGATGGCTTCCTTTTTATCCCCTTCTCCCCTTGCTGCAGGTGGAGAATTCAGGGGACCCATGGGAAAATTTCCAAAACAACCAAGCTCTTACATACTGGGAATGTGTCTACTTACTCATGGTCACAATGTCCACTGTTGGTTATGGGGATGTTTATGCAAAAACCACCCTTGGACGCCTCTTCATGGTCTTCTTCATCCTCGGGGGACTGGTAAAAAAAAACCCTCTTATGTCCATTTTTATAGTTATTAATATTTGCTATTGACCACTTCCTGAGGCTTTGCATTTTTACACTGTATTTCTGCATGGGAAGCAAGTGATTGATTCCCTTATGCTACAGTCAGACCAAGGGTGACCTGGTCCGATACTTTAGTGTTTTGTTTGTTTGTACTGTCCTCAATGGGGACAGCCATGTAGCCAGGAGCAAACTTAACTGTTTGAAAAAGGGGTGCCATTAGTAAATGAGAGTGCCTGTCCTTTAGTAATGGAACTGAACATCTGGTAGGCTACTAGGACAGTTGGCTGCCACTAACCCTGGTAGATGCTGTTCAAACTCTGTAGACAGTACGGTTTCAAGAGTTCCCCCTCCCCCTTATGTCCCTCCCCAAACTTCCAGCAAACTCTGTGGCTGGGGTCCACCCTGAGGAGAAGGGTCTGCCTCATCTAGGAAACATTGCTATGATCAGAGCTTGGTTATGTTAACAGCGTGCTCCATTCCTCAGCATCGCATGCGATGACTTCCCTCCCCTCAGTTTGCTTCACTGGTCCATGTAGCTCTATAGGTAGCAGTAAACTATCCCTTATGATATAATTCTGAGGAATTTCTAGGGAGCACGTTGACAGTTCTGTATTTTTTCTGGTAAAGCAGTTCATAATTTTAAGTTTAATTTTTACGGGGTATGAGGTAAGTGATTAAAATCCTTGTCCACATGCAGCTATCATGTATGTGCACTGCACACACATTTCTATGAAGCAATGCATACATATCTCTCTGTTTTGTATGCATAGGACATATACATTTTAAAAATGTATGTAAATGTGTGTGTAGATGGACATTGCAGCATTCCTGCAGCTCTGATGAGGGCCCCGTAGGTGAGGAGATTTGATGAGCCAGTCACAGGACAATGTTTGTTGGACAAAACATGGCAGTTTTGTGTTTCTCCTCTGCTCTCCTTTCCTCTTGTATAATTTCTGATATGACCTTTTATGCTTCTTAGTAATTTTTGCATGGAGAAATTTATTTTTAATATTCTTTTAGTGGTGTCTTTAGACATTCATAAAGATATTAATGAATTTTCCTTTGAATGTTAATTGGAAGGAAAGGTCTTTTCTTAGAGAAATGTATGCATGTGTGTGCGTGTGTGTGTGTGTGCGTGCGTATGTGTGCGTGCGTGTGTATGCGTGCATGTGTGCATGTGTGCACGCGTATGTGTGCGTGTGTGCGTGTGTGTGTAATTTCACTAGCATACAGCCCTTTTAACAACTTCCAGGAGGAAGAGCTAGATGTCAGCTGATTTTTTTCCCGTCTCCTTTGTGTTTTACTCAACTGTGATGTTTTTCATATTTGTTTACTTCTAATTGTCTAGGTTGGCTCACATTTGTTCCATTCTGTGTATTTTCAGGAACTTGCCCTCTTGGCCTGTTGTTTTTCTGTGTAATCCAATACATTAATACATAACCTCCATGGGTCTAATCCTTTTGTGTTTCCAGACCTTAGTATCCCCCTTATGAAAAGGTCACCCCTTTCTCTGGCCTGTCTTCTTAGTCTCTCTTCTGTCTCCCCTCTTCTCCTTAGGCCATGTTTGCCAGCTACGTCCCTGAAATCATAGAGTTAATAGGAAACCGCAAGAAATACGGGGGCTCCTATAGTGCGGTTAGTGGAAGAAAGTAAGTACGCCAAGAGGTTTTGCTGCGTCCGCTGCGGTAGAATCCTCTCTGCATGCCATTTTTGTTTTGGTTCTTGTTTCTTTGTCTCATGCATGTAGGCAATGTTTGCCCGCTACGTACCCGAAATTGCTGCTCTCATCCTGAATCGGAATAAATTCGGCGGGACTTTTAACAAACATGGAGGCAGAAAGTAAGTCAGTTGTACCAGAGGAGATGTGGTTGAGTGATGCAGAGTCCCTGGGGTGGTGGCACTAAGTCCTGCCTCTCCCTCAGTCCTACCCAGTTCTTTGAGGAGGGGAAAGCCCACATTCTGCAGGGGGCATGATGTCAGAGCACAGGAGATGTTTCGACCACCTTCCTAGGTCTTGCCACCATTTGCAATTTCCAAGAAACAACAGTGAATTTACTTAGAGAGGTCCATGTATACGTGGGGCTTACTTTCTATTCTTGTCCCTAACATCCAAACTAAGCTCATGTTTTTTTCACTGAACTGGCAATGTGATCAAATTCTGGTCTGTCCTGCTGTGGAGTTTGTACAAGCACTAAGTGGGCTAGAGTGGCAACAGAGAACAGGACCTGCAACATTCTGCTTACCGCAAAGGCCCAGGGCCACCCGGAGACCAGGTGTCTTCTGAGATAGGAGGTCCTGATCTTATCCTTACCCTTAGAGGGTCTCGTGGCACAGGGAAATTCCTCCTGGGCAGAATGTATTACCTGTAAGGTGTCATGTACTACAGGCAATTCCTGAACATCCCTGCTTCGTTCATTCCCAAACAGGAATGCTTTCTTCTTGGGAACTATTTCGGTTTGTGCTCAGGTCACTTTATCAACATCAACACCAAGGCATGAGTCCAATAGTGACTGCACGTTTTACTCCTGTGCTAATGTCAAGACCTTACCGTCTTGATCCTCTGCGGGATAGCCATCTCAATAGAAGAATGTTGGTGTGAGGTTGGGCTGACAGCAACCATCTTTCATTTATTTGCTTTGAAAGCTTTCCGGAGGCGTTCAACTTCGTTCTTATTTCCGGCTATAACACACACAGGGTAAAATGTTCACATTTTGTGCCCACCTTAGGAAATTTGGACCTATGAACACACCAGATATATTGTCTACATATCTGTATTGAAATGTGGAAAACTGTCCCATTCATGCCCCTTCCTGGGCATGGAGCTTCATGTCATAGAACTCTTATCTTCTTTTCCTTCTTACCATCAAATTATTAGCATATTTTGATTTCTAAGAAAACAAGAACCTTGCTGGTAGAGCTGCCTCTCCCTCCGTGGCTCCATGCCTTCTCCTCCCACCTGGACAGTTGGCCCTGCTAGATGGAGCCAAGTCCCTCAATGGTAACTGAATCCAACACATTCTGAGCTCAGGTGTCCAGTTCTCTGTTCAGAAAATGAGGAGGTGGGGAAAGGGCTCATTCCCTTGAACTACCCACAGGATACCAGTTTCCTTTCAGAGGCACAAAGGACAGAGGGCAGGAAGAGGCCAGTTGGCGTCTCTTCAGTGAGGCAGCCATCTCCATCTTCCTCTAAGAGGCCCCTCCCCTTCCTATTATCTTAACAGCCCTGGATGAGGTTAGAACCAAGCTGTTCTGATTTCTGGACCAGAAAGGCCAAATAAGTTCAGAGACACCCCTCAATTGTTTATCTCAGGCCAAGAGAAAAACAGCTTCCCAATTCTGTTTGCCTTTGAGATGTGGACAGGTCACCATAAAGCGGGAGGCATCCTGAGAGTCCTGGCTCTTGTGACAGCTGTCACAGTCCACCGGTCCTTCCTAGCATCTCTTTATCCCTGTCTCCAATGAAGTCAATAAAATCAATTGCTTTGAAGCCTAAGTTGAAAATATCTCTTGACTCTCTTTCCAGGTGGAATTTTTTTTCCCCCAGAACACTAGTTCTTGGTCCAGTGTGGGTGGGCCATTGGCTGACAGCTTTGTTGACGGGTGGCGGGAATGAGGCCCTGAGACCAGCACTCAGTGGCATGCCGTGGTCTGATCTGGTCAGATTTAAAGCCTGGCATTTCCACCCAAACCCCTACCTGCTAATGACTTCAGCTGAAAGACTTCCCCCAGTTTCATTCTGGCTCTGTAATCTTTGATCACCACTTTTAGCCTGGTTTCTCTCTCCCCATTGCTCTCTGGTTTTTTCTTGTCTGTTTATGAAAATGCACTTTGCTTTTAATATCCTCTTTTCGGTCTCCAATGTCCCAGGACCCTACGGAGACAGAGTATCTCCTGTCACGAACACCAGGACTGTTCCCTTTACTTTACGCATTGTTTCCTGGTTCAAAAGCTAATTACCAAGTAGTTTAAAGGAGCCCTTGGTCACTTAGATCTTTCATCAGAAAATATAAGCTTGGGAAAGGAACAGTAATAAAGGGCCATTAGCACCCTTTGTTTGATGTTGTTTTTCCAGTCAGTAGAACAAGATTGATGAAATGTTATGTTTGGCCAAAATTTGAGTTTTCATTTGGAATTCAGTGTTGAGAGAATGGGCTGTCAGAATCAATAAGTTTCCTTTCGCTTGGGATATGTGCATGTGGTAGTAATTAGCAATATAAGGTCTTTAGTTGAGCAACGAGGCATGGATTCTGGCAGCAAACATAATGAGAAACTACAGTTGTTCTATTTCTAACGTCAGAAAGTTTCCAGATAAAATTAAATGCATTTGCAAAAGGAAAGCAGCTAAACTTTGTTGAAAGATAGAGTTCAGTCTCTTAAAATAGCATGCAGTGCTTGAGTTTTTGTGTATGCAAAAATGCACATGCTATCCCATCTACACATCTACGAACTTTCCAAAGTCCATTCTTGCTGCTCCCCAGGACTGAATCCAGTGAATGTCTAGAAAACAATTCAAACATACACATAGTTAACATTTTGTTTATATGTTTATATTTTATTCAGAAGTAACCTCCCTTAGCAATCCATTAACTTGTCAGAAAATCAAAGGTAACTTATGACGCAAAATTGCAGGGACACAAAACTTTGAAATTCATAGATTATTTAAAGTTAAATATAAATAAAACAGAGAAACTTAGGGCTTGGGTTGTACAACAGCCACATTCCAGATTCCGTAGAATATGGACATTTCGTTGGCACTTCATTTTGAGTTTTAATCAATTTGGCGCAATGTAAATACTTCCTATGGCATTCACAAAGCATCCTCACCATTTATACAGAATCTAGAGCCTAGAGAGACTTACCCCCATCTTTCTATCAGTCATTCCTTCCCACAGGACATCCATCCCCAGCAGTAGGTGTGGCTACCCATTACTTGTTTGTGCTAGCTTTTGTCCAGTGTGTCTTAAGTGGGAATCCTAAAACATAGAGAGTGGGCTGTTAACAAGCAAGGGTTCAATAAGTGACTGAAGCAGGCCATTTCCCCAAGCTGGGGATGTTAGGAACACTTAGTCTGTTGAGCTGACACCCTATATCTTATGCGGAAGAGTAGTCCTCCTGCAGGCCGGCCTGCCTCCTAAGGCCTTTTGCCTCTGCCTCCTTCCTTTCATGTAAAATGAAAGCTGCTCAGAGGTGGTGGAGGCATAGGGGACACAGACTCTCCCATGGCCCTGGGATCCCCAGCTCACTCCCTCTCCTCCCACAGCCCCTTGCAGTTTCCCCCAGAGGTTTCGTCTCTGAGTGTGATTCATTCCACTCCTGGTTAGTTTATGAGAACTGACAAGATCATGGTCCAAGGTCACATGGCCAAGGGCCATGGAAAATAATTGGCCACAGAGAGGAATCCATCAGCTGTAACCCCCTGGATAGAGACAGCCCAGCTGGGGAGCCATCAAGACCCTGTGTTTCCCATGACAGGGCTTCAGTGGCCCCAAATTGAGACAGCCCTAGTCCAGGTGTTTGGGACTGAGAGAACTGAATGGGTTTATAGTGTACCACTGATTGCTGGTTGGCAAATACTGAGAGGACATGTAGAAAGGAATAAATAATAAAAGACAAGAAGTAGACAAAGGGCAACAGGAGACTGAATGCAGTTAACATGGGGAAGTCTCTATAGTCACATCCCCGTTCTATTTTGGGGAGTGGTTATAAACCCGTCTCTTGCTCCAGTTTAAGAAAGCCATGTGTAAGGCATATGCAGACACTACACCATTTTATCTAAGGCTGACTTTGGTATCCAGAGAGTGCTGGAACCAATCCCCCAAGGATGCTGAGGGATGGCTATATTTTCCTCATACTTTCTACCTTGCCTGAGCAGTGCTCTATGCCCGATAAGCTCAGGGCCTTAGGCATCTCTTCCTTCTTTCTTATGATGGGTCTTTATTTGGCTCTTTCCTTTTATGTGAAATAGGCTGCTCTTCTCATTTGTGTGCTTTCCCCCTTTCTGAGACCAGGTTCTGTTTCTTTCTGACTACTATCTGGGATCAGTATTCCCCCCATGTTCTCCGCCACCCTCAGGTTTTACCCACAGTGGTTACAGACCCTTTTTAAAAAAAAAAAAAAAACAAAAAAAAAAATAAGGATTTAGGTTGAAATAGATCTGTCTCCTCTAGTTGGGCAGACATGGAGTCCAACCTAATTATAAGCCGTATTATCTGGAAGAAAGATAGTTTTTGGTAGACTGTGAGGAATCTCTGTCTCTAATTATGTTATACTTCTGGACATAAAAATAAAAAATATCTACCTAATCCATTGTTGCCTTCTTGGGGTTCCTTGGAAGTTCTCTTAGTCCAACTGCCATGTCAGTATCAATTTAAACCTCCCTTCGTTCCCAGAGGTGATAGCATCTTCCTGAAGTCTCTCTGTCATGGCTCTTCTTTCTGAGAAGACCTGCTCTCCAGCACTAGGAAATGGGATTTGGGTGGATTCATGTAGTGCTAACTTGGCTTGGTACTGAGGGCCTGCTTTCCCTTCCTGTTTACGTGTCATAGCATCTTCCTGAAGTCTCTCTGTCATGGCTCTTCTTTCTGAGAAGACTTGCTCTCCAGCACTAGGAAATGGGATTTGGGTGGATTCATGTGGTGCTAACTTGGCT